ACCAACGACAACGACGACGACGACGACGACGCCATTTGAGTTAAGCCACTGAAACGCGACTCCAACTGAATTTACGGCCTTGGCTGGCCAGGATTAGGCGCTTGAGTTATGTGTGGCAATAGAGGCGCACACATGAGAGTTTATAGTAGAAATAGAACTGTCTGCCTGTCTGTCGGTGAGCCGGTTTAAGCTAGTCTGTGAGACTGACTAGTTGGGATGCAATGCTATTTTTTTTTTTTTTTTTGGGGTTTAACATTTATTTGAAAGTTATTAGCACATTTTTCCCCATTTTTTCCAGATATTTTTTTTTTTATTATTTATTTTTACTTTTCTGCGTTGGCGGCGACGCTGGAAAATCCGCGAGCTCTTTTCGCTCTCTTTTTGGTTTGGTTTGCTGACTTTCATTGGAGAAAATGTCGGCGCTTCCGGTATTTTCATTTCCTATATGTTCAGTTGACGCTGCGCGCTGGCCGACGTCGCCAACGAAGTCGACGTTTGGCGCTTTTGAAAATGAGATTCTTGGCACCAATTCAACACTAAATTGATTTTGAACAATAGAGGAGCGTTGTCCCGGGCAAGCGGCGACTCTCCAACCATTGCTATCTTTGGCAATTTATCTCGCCATGATTTTCGACTATTTGGTCGACGGGCGACGTTTCCGCTTTTTCCATGTGCATTCTCATGGCAACGTCCAAAACAACAGCAACATTTTACAAAGTCAATTTAAATTGATAAAACGAACTTTGCATGCGCTAGCCGAACATATCTAATTGATTATGTTACCAAATATATTTAAAATCATTCTCAATTGAATAAAACTGGAAGCACAGAGAAAGAGAGGAGAGATGAACGCGCGATATAGAATGGGACATTTTGGGTAATCAACAAATAATTTATGAGGTGAAAGACGCTGTTTTGTGCTTCTGATTTCGGTTTTCAAGTAGTTATTGATTAAATGAATATATTCGGCATTGCGTGGATTGATTGTGTGATTCTCGTCAGCTTCTGCAAGGTTCAGAGGCAAAAAATATATATAATTCAACATCTTAGAAAAGAAGAAAGATATACTTTTTATATTATTTTAAATGATATTCTTTTCATTTCGTGAATTATAATACTAAGAATTCACTTTACTAGCAGCAAAAGTGTATACTTTCAATCCAATCTGAAAAAGGGTATACATACATAACAGGGTATTATTAACATCCACATCATTTTCTAGAGTGTGCGCTACTTGCACAGCTGATTATATAGCGCATATGCCCTTAACAAGTGTCGCTTGCAATTAAAGTTGCAAATAAAAGCCATCAGATTCAATTTGAAGACCGCCTCCAAAACGCCCCGCGATGCAAATTTATATGTGTTGAGGCCGTGGGATTGCATAGGGCGAGCTTGTGCTTCGTCTGGCTCTCGGTCTGGGTCTGGGTCTGGTGCTGTGTCTGGGTGCTGGGTCCAAACCGGGTGCTATCATAATTTTTCCGCTGCTTGCACACACAAAGCCATTTTTAGTTTGTGCCGTTGTCGCCGCCGCTGACGCCGCCGACATAATCAATAGTTGTGACTTCCTTTAATGGTTTTCCGGTGATTCAGCACTTCCGTATGCCCGTGCAGCGTCGTTCGTTCCGTCGTTCCAATGTTCCAGCTCCTATTATTTTATTTTGCAAATTTTGCCTCTTTTGTCACTTGTTGGACTTGCTTGGCTGCGCGCAACCGGTTACACTTTAATTTTCGACGATTTACCAGAAATTTATGACCCAGGCCAAACTCTTATTAGTTTTTCAAGAAGAAATTTTTTCAAAAAAAAAAAAAAAAAACCGCTTATATTAAAATTGAAATGAGTAATGTGCAAATTATGCGCTGGATTTGCGTGGAGCGGCTTTTGTCGATTTTTTTCTTAGCTCAGTTTTTATCACCTTTTAAAAAGTTATTAATATTTCGGTGTGAAATTTATCCTATTTGGTGGTTGTTGTGTTAAAAAATAAATAAATACAAATATATATATAAGGATGCAGCAGGAAATGCCAGAAACTGCCACAAGGCCTCACAAGCTTTTATAACATTTTTTCACGCGCCGTAGATTTTGCCAATTTAGTAGATGTATTTTTTTATGTATATATATATATATATATATACATATATGCATGTTGGGTTAGATTACACGTGTGTGTCAATACGGGATTTATTTTTGGCCTGCATACGCTGTAATAGTTGGCTCTTCAAATGGAAAGAGTGGCTTGTAGATACGCTAGCTAAGCCAGGTGTAAGTCCAGTAATAATTAAAAAGTAAATGATATTGTTAATTTAACTTAACTTAAGGCTTAGACGTTTTTCATTGTATTGGAGTTGAGTTTGGGTTTATTTTACTGGTCAGAGTTTTGGCCAATAGTTGACTAATGAAATGGCTACAGAGAAGTATACACATTTTATTTATATAAATAAATATAAATTCATTTGGTAAAGCGCACCGAAATTTCTAATAACTCAAATATAACGAAAATTTAATATCGCACATTTTTGCCCACAATTTTTTTTTATGTTCGCCCTTTTATATTTTATATGCTTTTTACGTTTTACCCCGTTGTTATAAACTAAAACACATGTTACGTGTTGTGTTTGTCGGTTGGCCCCAAAAAAAAGGGGCATATAAAAACTGTGTGGGAAAATATGTGCAAAAATTTGACCATTATCATATGCCGGAGCGAACATCAAAAGCCCCGGCATAGGCACATCAGTTAGTTATGGTTGCGGCTAGAATTTCAGTTCATGTGGCGTTACATTTAATTTTCCGTGCATAGGGCCATTAATCAATGTGGACACCAGCAAAAACCTTTATATATGTTCACATAAAAATATATATATAAATATATACGTATATCTGCAGTAAATTTTGCTATATTTTGGCTGTTGGTATTTTCAACACAATGGCAGTTCGTTAAGACCGCAGCTGTTCTAAATTTTAGATTTGGCAGATTAGTTTTTTTTTTATATGCGCTGCTCAACTTTTATGTTAACACTTGCGGTCACATGTTGTGGCTGACGCTTGCCCTGTGCCCAACTTAATGCATTTTAATTAAGAGTCAAGTCGAGTTGCTGCTGTTTCTGCAACTGCTGAGCGCCAAACTTTATGCTTTTGAATTTTTGCATAATTTTTGCGCTGTGCGCTCAAAAAAAGTTATATATATATATACATGCAACACGCCCCTTCGCAAACGCGAGCTTGGGCATTGGGTAATAAAATGTAAAATACAATTGTGCATAGAATAACGAAACTTTAATGCCCTTGCGTAGCCGTTAAATAAGGGATTTTGATTTTTTTATAAATTAAAAATATAAATTATTTAAGCAAATTACTTGGCAATTATTCGAATTTACAAATTAGGGAAATTAATTTTTGCTGTAAATAAACCAGACAAACGAGTCTAAATTGGGGATTGGCAGCCCAAGTTTTATTTACCTTTGCTTCATTCAATACCAAGCTCATATTCATTGCGCATTACAAGCTCTTCAACAGAACGTGGCTGACCCCGGGCAAGAGTATTCTTTTTTTCTCAAATATATAATAATTTTTAATCTGATAAAAAGCGCGACGGTCGCATTGGGCAACACCTTTAGCCAGCTGGAGGCTGGAGGCTACAGTTTGCGGTGGTCCGTGGTCAGGCGTTGCTGCGAATTCATTAAGGAATTCAATTTAAATGCACATTTTACATTTTGCGCGGACAACGCGGCGTATGAGCAACCGTTGGCAACCGTTGACTCTGACTCTCTGTCACTTGGATGCCATCGTTGACGCTTTGTATATGTGTATATACATATTTAAAAATCTGCTGTTATTAATATTCATGAAAGTTGAAAAGTTTTTCGGTTATTTATTTAATATGCGAACTCCGACCTGGAGCCCAGCGCTCAAGCCCCCGAAAGCCGAAAGAACAAGTCAGAACGGTGTCTGGACCAGTGTGTGCATAAATTTTTATCATCACGTGCAAATTTTTACAAATATTGCAGGTAATGGACATTAACCTCAGGCACCCCCCATATACATATTTATAAATAAAAAAAAGTTTAAATCGCATTTAATTTAAGTTTTAAATCAAATGCGTTGTTGATACTTTTTAATGGCTTTGCTTCATTCGGATCTCAGTTTACGACAGCATCTCATTTACTCTAGGACATTAAATTGCGATTTGTGCGTCTTATTTATGCATTGCCTTGTTGTTACGACACCTTCTCTGGGGCGTGTTCAGAAATGACAGCGGAATTCTAAATATTCATTGCTTTAGGGAATTTCTGCCGCCTTTTGCGCTTCTCGGTGCGGTCTTATGCGTATGCCTATGGATTCGGTATTTTATTTTTTTTGTCGTTTGCTTGACTTTTCTAAGTTTTTCATTTCGGCTTTTCACAAAGCAAAAAGAGAAACAAAAAATTCCCGAAAAAAAATTGGTTTTTGTTATGCCACTGCCTTCAAAAAAAGAGTTGGGTCAGTGGGTTTTAATTTAGGATTGCTTTAAGGTCAAAAGGCAAGCACAGGCATTCTAAAAATTCGTAGAAGTATGATTTAAGTCTGTTACGTTGTGAGGTGTAAATGTTATTCAGGCTTCGCTGAACAATAAACAGACTTAAGCTGGCCTCTTGACTCTTTGCAATAATAACAATGAATCATATATTTTAATGGTCATTATATCATTTTATTATACCCTGGACCCGTTGAAAATGGGCTAACAGGGTATACTGTTTTTGTGCAAATGTGCAAGCATTTCTGAACTTATAAAATCTGGCCATCCGTCTGTATGTATGAATGCAGGTATCTTAAAATATTGAAGTGAAATTTTGCACGTAGGTTCTTTGTTTGTTCCGATAATTGACAACTTGCCCCGTTTTTAAGAAATCGATAAATATCGATTTAGAAATCTGAGCAAATCGACTAGTGCCTCTTACTTGTTGTGCTCAAAAGCAAGCTTTGTTTTCACTGCTTTGAGCTTTATTTAATCGTCTAACAATAATTATGCGGATCATAAACTTTCGTATCATACTAATATTTTGCGCGCTCCTTACATTCTTGTGGATTTATCTGACAAATCTGCCTCGAGAACCACATCCAATGAAGACAGAAAAGTCGGTTGTGAATCATACTAAACGGCTGGCCAACTACAGCCATAGTCAACGGTCGATGGTCAAGGACACATATCAGACGATAACGGGTGAAAAACAACGCACGGATCCGTTGTGGCAGCGTATCTTGCAGGGATCACCTCTTTTGCTCGGTTCAAGCTATAGTAACGGCCGGACTGGTGTTCAATTTGTGCTAGGCGTACCCACTGTACGCCGAGTGGGTGAGAATTATTTGTTGGAGACAGTGGCTCATCTGATAGAGAAATTGAGCGACTACCAGCGCAACAGTTGCCTCATTGTGATCTACATAGGCGAGACGGACAGTCAAATTGTGGAGTCTATATGGAAAGAGATAGGTGACTCATTTGGCTACCATTTGGATGATGGCCTGATTGATGTCATATCACCACCAGTTAATTATTATCCAGACTTTGAATCGCTCTTTATAACGCTGCACGATGATCCAAATCGCGTGCGTTGGCGCACAAAGCAGGTCCTGGACTATATGTACCTGATGACATATGCAAGCAGCCGTGGTAGCTACTATCTACAACTGGAGGATGATATCGAACCGACTGTTGGATATTTGGATTATATTATCCAGCTAAAGGCATTGCATACGCACTTTCGTCTAGACCATCATCGTGGCTGGATTGTTTTAAGTTTCTCGGAGCTGGGTTTTATTGGCAAGCTTTTCCACGTGTATGAGATCAAACCGTTTTTAGCCCATGTGCAGAATTTTTACAATGATCAACCCATTGACTGGTTGCTGTATTCCTATGTGAAGTTACGAAGCTGCCCCTGGGACAGCTTTAATACTGCGGACTGCGAGCGCGACTTTTTCATGAACTATATACGCGCCACCCAGTCTCAATTTCAGCACATTGGCGTGGAGTCCTCTCTGCGTTCCAAGGAGCAAAAGCTTCGCGACGAGAGATACGAACGGAATTCGGGGCAGCAAATTATGGAACATCTGCGTCGGCCGCTAAACTTGGTAACCTCTCACACGCATACGTTTCTGCAGGATAGAAGACATTTTGGACCTGGCGAGACCTTTATGTGGAGCTACGTGCCGCAGGTCTCCTTGTTAATGCGTTACCTGCTAAGTCACCTAAATGATTTCAGTCAGATTAAAATTGGAAATGGTTGTCATCGGGAAAATGATAGCTTTAGTGAACTGACTGTTAATTTATATAAAAAGGCGCCCATTGTGGATGGATCACATAAGCGACGTTTTGGTTTCCTTCTAAGTTACACCCATCAGATTGAAGCAGGGAATCCACATATATTGTACTTTTATATGACGGAAAACGCAATGGACAGTAATGAAAGCAATTGGATTGGACGCTTTAATTGGACCAATAAAGGAACTTCTTTAAATATAGATATGTGTGTGAAAATTTGGTTTTTACTGTGGTCTCTGATATGACTTTTATAAAAATTTTTATAACTCGACGGCAACTATTCTCGATTATAGTGAAGTGAAGGCGCTATAATTCCAATCATGAACCGGATATACCGGCGCGACCCTTAGCCAACTTTTCTATTAGAATTTCCAGGGTTTAAACGTCAACCTAAAGACGTGATTAGTATTAAAAGATCGTTTACGATACTTATGTGTAATTGTAAAAAATCAAATACTGCAAAAAGTGTGTTCTCTTTTGCAGCCAGTTTGTAAAAATTGCCTTGTCCCTAGACTTTCGTTTGCTCTGTTTCGTCAGGGTAAAATGCCAAAAGGGGTTTAATTTTTTATTCTTCATCTGCTTGACATTTCGAAACAGCAAACAAAAATGGAAAATAACTTGAGATATTGCACACAATCAATATTAAAGATAACAAAGCAAATGTTAAACTTTTGGGGGTAGAAAACAAATACAACATTATTACGACAAAAGTAAACTGAGGCTGCGATTGCCAGTGCGGTGGCTGTTCAAGTGCAGGCGGCTAAAAAACAAAAAAGGAAGAAATATACAGAATTTCCATCAACTAAATCAGCAAAGCATAGAAAATCGATGAAGCATGACAACAGCGCGAAGAAATCAGAAAAGAAAAATTCAGCCATAGCCAAAGAAAAAGCAAAGCAAAAGCAGAAGCAGAGCAAAGGCGAGCCTTGAATAAGAAATCATTTTCACTAATGATGCTGGCTAAGTGAAGAAGAAGAAGCTGAACAGAACGTCATTCAGATTGTGCCAAAGATAAAGCTACCAGTTGTTGTTGGTTAACCATGAGACCAAAATAGTATCCTTATCATAATGATGATGACGACGGCGATGATGATTACAATGATGATGCTTTGGCGTTTGGCTTTAAACTTTACCTACATGTGCCGGGCGGACTTTGGCAATTTCCTGCCGTTGACAAAGATGTAGCTACCCAATTTATAGAGTATTTTTATAGAGTGTTACGAATTGTCAATCGCTTAGTGCAGAATCCCTCCGGAACGGGGCACTATGGCAAAAGGCTGTCATTAAAATGATTGGTTGAAAATAAAGCTATTTGATCTTTAGAAAGATATTTAATTTCAAATTGGTCTACTCTATGTGGCTTTAATAGAGACACCTCTGGACCATATGTATGCCTACAAGAGTATTTAATCTTCGGCGTGACACAGTAAAACATTTTGTCGTTGTTGTTGCGCCTCTTGCTTTTAAGTGCTTGATGGGCGTGGCACAAATAAATTTGTTACACGAAACAATGCAATCAATCAAAATAACTAACACACATTCACACACACACGCACACACCCAAAATACCGCTCGACTAGGGGCTGCACTTTGTCGCTGTCTTTGGCTGAGCACCGAAAAAAAAATGGGAAACGGGAAAAAAAGATGGCACAAGCGGAACAGCAAAAAGCTGAAAATGCTGCGCTCAACAAAACAAACAGCTGATGGATGGCCCCAACAATTTTCACTAGGTCCAAGGACATTTTGCTTGCTAGTTTTTGTTTTTTGATTTTTTTGCTGGCATTCTGCCAAAAAGCGTGGGCATCGAGCTGCTAAATTTGCCAGCTTCCAAAATGGGTCAGTTAGCGTTGCGCACCCGACGACAATTACGAGCAGTTAGTTAGCGACATTCGGGAGACATTTGGTAAATATTTATGCATATTCATTCATAGCCTATATAAGCCTCAGGCAGTATCTACAGCCGTCTGCAGCTTCAGCAATGCACTTGCCTTAACTTCCTTTGCTTTTTATTTTTAGACTTCGCAATCAATTTGTTGCCAGTGCATCGCCTACACTTGTGATACTCTTGTGGTGGGGGTATTGTAGTCTTGGCAGGCCATATGCAACGCATTGAAGACGAACCTTCAAAATTTGTATATAGAGTATTGTTCGTCTGTTTGCCTGGAGAAAACGGTCTCATATAGTTTGCCTTTGGCAAGTCAATTCAGAAAGAGTGTTTAACATTCGGCAAGCCAAAGATAATTGTTCTGTCTTGTTCTCCTTGCCTGTTTCTGTTCAACATTCGTTTTTCTTTTTATATTCCCTTTCCTAGCCTGCTTCTTTTCCGTGTCCCTCCCCTCATTGCTGCATTCGAATTGACTTATATTTAAATAAAATTAGTTACATAAACAATAATTGACTTCAATTGGCTTTTGTGTTTGCATAAAATTCAATTTTCATTTCCGCCATTGACTTGAATGCCATCACAATGGATGGCCCTCTGGGTAGGAAGCTGTTTGTGGGCTCTTCTCTGTCTGGGCTTATTTGTGGGGTCAACTAGTGGTATTTTATTCTACTTGCCGCCCTGGTGAATGTGGCGTATACGTAATGTGGCTGTCAATGAGAGTTTCTTAGTTGGACTAAAGCAAAAAGTTTGAATAGAACTTCTTAAGAATAAAAATCTATAGTGAAAACAAAAAAATATTTTAAATTAAATTAATTTAAATCTTTAATAAAAAGTTAGTAGCCTACATGTAAATGGGCAGAAATATGTCTCCTATTTTGGATTGAGAATGGGTTTTATATAAAAAACTACAAATACATGTTTATTTATATACCCTATTAGTCTGCATATGTTTTTGAATAAGAGCAGGTAAATTATTATAACTGCTTACAGGTGTATTTCGGTGTTACACATCATTATTTGATAATTTAAACAGCTTTTCGGCTTCTGTAGTTGCTGCTGCTGCTTTTATTATTCTATTGGCCACTTCTGTTGACATTTGGGAATTCTCATTAAAATGCAACAATGCACTTATAATTAAAACTGCATAAATGTTTACCCATAGACAAAGCGCGTCTATCACATGTGAGAGTGCGGCTGGGGTAGGGAAAGGGGTAGAGGGCTAGCGGGCTAGCGCTTTTTTGCTGCCTTTGTTTGGCTGTCCAGTCACAGCAAATAAAATGGCAACCACTGTGGCGGCTTTTCAACTTAATTGTTATAGTAATTGTTTTTATTGAAATGTGTCAAATGCAACGCGATGAAAATTAAATTTTGAATATTTTATTAACACGACGGCGGCGGCGTCGGCGGCAACTGACAACAATAAAATATAAACAAAACAAAGGAAACAAATAAAAGAGTCACTCACCTGTCGATGCGCTTGTCAGCCGACATATCACATTAATAATTGATGAGCATTAATATTTGCTGAGATGAAACAAAATAAAACAATTTTAAATGCAGCACTCGAGAGTAGTTGATTGCTAGATATCCTGTACTTCACCTAGAATCGCTTTATCTCTCTCTCTCTCTCTCTCTCTCTCTCTCTCTCCCTGTCCCTGTCTATCAATCTATCTATATATCTATCTATCGATATATCTATCTATCTATCTATCGTCCTAACTATCTATTAATCTATTTCTTCTCAATGTCTCTTCGTTCTATCTTTGCTCTTCTTACTTCTCTTTTTTTTTCTCTCTCTCTCTCTCTCTCTCTCTCTCTCTCTCTCTCTCTCTCTCTAATTCTCGTCTCTCTCTCACTCTCTAACTTACCCGCGTTGTCCGTAATATGTCCTTTTTCCATCTAGCTAAATTATCGCCTTTCTACTCGTTATTCATTATTTCCGGCTAATTAATTTATTTCATCGAGTGAAAGCTTGTTAAAATAAATTAAAAATGTTGTTACCTTTATAAATATTGGCATAGCTTCTCTTAAATAAAACTATTTAAATAATATAAATTGCATTTTTGATGCTTTCTATGGAATTTCGAGTGAAACTCTACATGCAAAATAATTTTTCTACATAGAACGTTTCTTTAAAATTGTCTAGCAATACAATGCCATTGCATTAAACAATAAATAAACTCAATTTTTAATACAACGAACAGCACAAAGATAAATAATATTAAAAAAATACAAGCAAATTGTATTTTGTTGTTATTTGCTTTTGTTTTAATCGAATTATAAATAATAAATCTCTTGTATATGTTATTTCATTTTCTATGTGTTGGCCATATTCGCCATGTTGGCCAACATTATTTATTTAAGCGCAGTGCCAGCGAACTTTGCGTGTCACAAAAATGTTAAAATATTTAAAAATATATTTTATGAGATGTAGACACAAGAGATAGATAGAGAGCGGGAGAGAGAGAGAGAGAGAGAAAGCGAACAAGAGAGGAGGTAGACAGATTGGGTTAATGTTTTTTCTGAAATTTTCTGTGGCTGAACACATTAAAGTGGAAAGTGAAGCTGCAAGTTGCAAGATGCGAGTTGCTAGTTCAATCGTAACCGCGCGAACAATAATAAAATGCACAACTTTATTTCGGAGTGCTGCACAGGCAACAGGGAGTCAAGCAATAACAACAACAGCGAGTGCAACAATTGCTGCAAATAGTTGCTTGGCATTTTCTTACGAGTATTTTTAACATTTTGCCCATTCGACTTCGATCGTTTCCTTCGTTCTGTTGCTGCACTTTTATTTCGCATGCTACGTGGCGCAGAAAACCGAACGAAAATTTCCAATTGTTGCAATTTTCAATTATTGTTTTCAAATTGATGTGTGCTTAAGGACGAGACATTCATGCTCGAGTTGCCAGGACACACAAAAACACACACACACAACCAGTCTGAGACTTGGCTGAGTTGTTGTTGTTTTGCGGCATGCGCGGAGAATATTTGCACAGCAATCGAAGTGTGTGTTGAACGTGTGTTGAGTGTGTGGCTGTGGGGCTGGGTCAAGATGTTGCAAACAGCTTTAAGTGTTGGCCCAGGTCAAGCGAAACGATTTCAACGCTCAAGCATATTAACCATAAGAAATGTTTTCCAATTATACCCAAAACATTTCTGAAAAAAAGAAACTTTAATTACTTAACATATATGAACATAATTATGATAAATATTTTAAGTGCCAACCATGTAACCTTCAGCAATGCCCTTTCGTCAGGCGCTTTCTTTCGTCTGCATGGTAAACTGTTTCTCAGCTTGAGTTTGTCTGAGGTAAGCAGTTCTTTACAAAGTTGGGTTGCAAAAAAGCATTCGCATATATCATCATAATAATAAAATAAAATAAATTTAATTACACACGGCAGGCAATCCACTCACTCATCGCCTGGGTAGGCCCCCAAACTGAACACAACTTTTCAGCATATGTGAGCGCAAATGCAAATACAACAAAAATACCAACACAAACAGACGCCAGACATGGGCAATGTTTATATGAATGCACCTACTTAGCCTTTAGTTTCAAGTGCGCGCAGCTCTCATCTAGCGTCTCCATGCTCCGATTTTGGGCCGGAGGGGCCGCTCGGGCACAGCGGAGTGCTCGGCAGCCCAATGCAAAGCGCGCACAGGTGCTCAAGCGAAGCCGCACACTCGCAGTGTGTGCCTGTGTATGTGGGTGCAGGAGTGTGCCCGTTTGTGTGTGTGTGTGTGTGTTTGTGTGTAAGTGTGTGCATAAGTTCATTTAGTTTTGGTCGCTGCGCATGTGAGTGCACTTCAGCCAACATCGAGCGAGTTCTGGTCCGGGTCCTGCTCCATGAACAGGTCCGTGTCCCGGTCTGTTTGGTTGGTCGGGGTCCAGCTTTAGCTTCAGTCCACAGACTGACTCAACGCTGACTGACTTGCCAACATCGTTGAGCGTCGAGTAATTATGAAAATTTTCAAAATGAGCTCTCGCCCTGCTTCAGTTTTTGAAAGTTGAGCGACGAGTAATTAAAATTTTCGTAGTGTCGCCCAGTTGCCCAACAGTTCCCACTCGTATTCCTAATGAAAGCCACCGAATTGCCTTGCTTAGCTTGTTGTTCCTGTTCTGAAAATATGAATGTGTTTCCCTCACTTTCTCTCTCCCTGCGTGTGCGTGTGTCTGTGTTTGCATACATAAATTTTAATTAAATTCGTTTTTCTATTTGCCGGTAAATAGTCGTAGTACCTGCTACTTACTACCACATGCGTAGCCCGTATAATTTTAATGAGAAACCTGCAAACATTAAGCAATAAGACATTCTGCCC